TTTTGTGATAAATATCTGCGATCTTGAATATATGAATCTTTAATATAGCTAGTCACTCGCGCTGCTAAGACGATTCTATCAACACCTCACTGGTCAAGATCCGCCTAGCCGTTTGGGCTACGCGGCTCCTGAAAACGAATTTCTTGTCTACATACATAATCTCGAAAACGATAAGCCTCTTAAAGCAGTCGGGTAATAAAAAATTCGCTCATATTTGGACGTCACATCCAAAAATGTTCTAAAAATGTGTCACTTAGTAAGATTGCTCATTTCTTTTTTCTTATTTCAAAAAACGTTACAAAGATTTTATATATTCCACAGTTTCCTAAAAACCCCTTTAACCATTATGGGCATAGGCAGGCACTCAGAAATATTCGCAAATAACATTTCGTATTTCTTCTTTACTCAAGTGAAAATAACGAAAAAGTAATATCACGCGTTACTTCAATTGGTCCCACATCATTTCCATATGAATGGAGGTAGCTTGTGTCATATTATATCATACCACAATAGTAACAAAAATAGGGCAGAGGGCGCCCTTCTTCTTCGAATGACCCGATGAAACCTGGTGTCAGAGATTTTCAACCGCCTACTGCAAATAGCAGGCCTCCGACACGGTTGTGTTGTGTAACGACCGCCATCGTAGACAGCAACCGGGACGGGACCGACGGCTCAACGTGCCCATCCGAAGCTCGGAACCACCTTTCTTTTTGGTCAATCAGGTGTCTGGGAACAAATTGATAAAATATACAAACGGACTAACTTTAAGATCGCTATTTCGGTGACTACCTCATTGCCCAGTGGTAGTACGGCGTAAAGTTTCCGGGGTCGATCCTCGGCGGGGCACTCACAAAGTTTATATTTATCACTTCGTGAATAGTTTCTAGTCTGGATAGCAAATTGCAGGCTGAACCATCTGATTCCCCGGAAATAAAGATGGTTCCGGGCTTCACGTTTACGTTCCCGTATCAAACTTAGCTGTTTCCTCGTTTATCTCAAAAACTATGCATGCTGGACTAGCAATTTTTGAAAAATCAGTTTGTATTGAGGAGATCTGTATACAGTAAGCACGCGTGCCACGCGTCGAACGTCATTTGTGACAGTGGCAACCCTGGCTATGTAACAAGTGGCAATCGTATAAATCCTAAATAGGGTCGAGTGATCCTTCTGTGAACTTTGTTTTTTGCACATACTTACCCTTGACCTTAGAAAAATTGAGTTATTACTCAGAGAGCTCAATTTCTGAAAAGTCGTAATACTTAATTCAATTCCGTGAAGTCCGCAACGACTGGCATCTACTTACTTTTTGATGTGATCCGAGTTCTTCTGACATAGCATTCCATCTCCACATCAGAATGCGACGATTTGACTACCTACTGTTGTAACCGCCTCATTCGTTTTTACGAGAGCCCACTCGATGAAAGAATTTTGGGACTAAAATTACGATTAAAATTTTACAGAGTGTTTTTTCAGCTTATTTTTCAAGCACAGAATTTTTGTTTTGTGAAAAACATTTTATCTATTGCAAGAAACACACGGTACGTAGCGGTATAACTTGGCAGAGCCAAATATACCTATGAAAACAAAAGAATAGCTGTGACGGTTGTATGCAGTTTTTGCGGAGCTCAATCCTTTTCAATCAATTTTGTATTTCGGCAATTTTGTATGGGGGATCCAAAACAATAATTTTTTGAAATTGCCGCTATCGGATTTTTTGTAATCTAATACAATATCTGCTTGACGTTTGTCAATCATACATAAGCATCAGATTAGTTTTAGTAGGTACACAATTTCATAATCAAACACACTTTGCGGCTTTTGATCCATAACGTCAGAACCGCAAAATCGTGCACCAGACGTCTATTAAAAAATACTTTTCCGTTCCACGGAAATATTTAGCAACAGACATACAGAATCTGGTTTGCATCATTTACTATAAATTAAAAATAAACTGACTTTTATTGCGTACCATGCCACGGCAACGGCAACGTGTAACATTTTGGAGGTCATATTATTATTATGGGATACGCTAAAGATATTTTAGAATACATACAAATACATACGTTTCACGCCTATATCCCTTGCGGGGTAGGCAGAGCTGTAAAATACGGCCATAGAAAACTGTGTATTACCATAGAGATAGGTTGTCAGCCTAGCCCCGACACCCACGGGAAAGATATTGGGTGATGCTATTCCAAGGTTGTACCACATGGAAAAGTAATAAAATTGTTTATATTTATTTATATTTATTTGATCACCCCTGAAAGCAGCACTAACACCTTTTTTTTGCAAACTAGTTAAATGCTCTTTTGTATCGTCGCAAAAACAGGATACAGGTTTTATGAAAGCATTTTCATCTCGTTGAGAGTGTTCTGGTCAATACCTTTTCTAATCTCTCTTTTTCTCTCTTATTGTAGGTCACCGAGTCGTCCAACGACCCGATGAGGCGATGAATCGTGATGTCAGAGTTTTATAACCGCCTACAACAAGTAACAAGCCTCTGACATGACTGTATAACTAAGTCATAGACAGCAACCGGTACCGACGCCTTAACGTGCCCTCCGAAGCACGGAACCATCTTTCTGTTCGGGCAATCAGGTGGTTCGACCTAAAATGTCCTAATCAGACTGGGAACAACTTCACAAAGTGATAAATAGTGATAATTATCAACTTTGTGATTGGACCCCACCGAGAATCGAACCCGGAACCTTCTGCGCCGCAGGCAGTCGCTCTAGATACCACTGCGCCACATCGGCGGCCTTTTCTAATACCAATCCATTACATAACTCATACCCCAATTTTATTTATCGTCCCGTTTTCAGCCATTCTTTATTGTGTTCTTTTATATGGTACCTACCTACCTATGGGTATGTGAAATGTCCAGATAAAAACCCTTTTGAAGGTGTCATATTTGTAACAATGAAATACGGCATTTATCTTTTATTTTGTACCAATGAATGAGTTTTATGAAAGAGAAAATCGTGTTCAATTTCTTTTATGTCCCGAGAAAACATTTGGAGAACGATAAAATGAAATATGGCATTTTCAGTTTCTTCTATACTATTGTCAGCGACTCGCTGCAGTTGTGGTCATATTTTTTTGGAGTAGTATTTATAACACCAGATTTTATGACCTATGAATAGAAAAAAAAAGTAGTCGTAATATTTTTCTATAACTTAAACGCGTTTATCTATGTTCCAGTGACAGGTAGAGGTTTAATTAGTCGTATATATTTTTTTGTTTATGCTTTGTTCCAAACTCAAATACAGGATGTAAAAATCAACTGCAAATATTTTAAGGGCTCACCCCATGAAATTGAACAACTTTCCATAAAAAACATAGGCCGCAATATGAATTAAAAATTTGGACCTTTCATACAAAATGTACCAGCCGAGCAAGTCAAGACGTAGAGTTTTTGACCTCGGCTGAATATCTGTCGACTATGGTCAACCGCATGGTGGCGTGATATACGCACCTACAATAGCATTCTCAGAGAGGGTTGAGGTCAGGCAGGAGGCTGGACATATTTGCTATGATTCTACGTTCTAACAAAAATGTTAAGCTGACCCCAACTGATTTGGGATAAATGCAGACAGGTGATGATGACCTATTAGAAGATAATCAGGTAACAATTATAACGGACCGTTATAATTTTGGTTAACAACATAAATCTGTGCTTGTACTTGTAGCTTTTAATTAGTTTAGTTAGTTTAGTTCTGTTATAGTTGAGACGGCCACTTGCTGCATTCGTCGCCCTCTCTTTCTCATTTAAGTTTAAAACCAAGTGGGAAAGAGAGCACCATACTACCACTGTCATATATGGCAGAGAATGCAGCGAGTGGCCATCAGAACTATAATTACCTACATACATACTTCAACTTTTTAACACCGTCTGCCAAACACTTCCGGTCAGTTTAGGACATTTTTGTGTATTTTCTTTGCAAACGTGAGAAGCACGTAACATCCGTTTGTACGTTATTTTTGCGCTGCGTATCTAACGCATGCGTAAGGACAATACTTCAACCTTATTCATTAAAAAGTTAGAACTGGTTGCAGTAAGAACACAACCTCTCTCTCCATCAGAAGCAGAACGCCAGCGACAATACACTAGGTATTGAATCTATTAATTTACTTCACATTCATTTAATGTATTTATCTATGGAATAAATTGTATTAGTTCTAAGTGTACCTGTTTATATAGCTGTTGGTTTTCCTAAATAAATAAAATAAAATAAATAACTGCTAACTATTAACAGTAGCACGCTTGTCAATTCAATATTATATAGGGTTACATTTAATTAAGTACAAATCTCTTGAGGGTGTGATCTACTCACAAAACTAAGCAACTTTTGTTTGAAACTTTTCTTCGAAATATAAAAAAAAAAAATTGGACTTCCCATACAAAAATGTTGAAAAAGTGTGTCACTTAGTATGGGAGGACCAAATTCTTTTTTCATATTTCGAAGAAAAGTTTCAAACAAAAGTTGTTTAGTTTTGTGAGTAAATCACACCCTCAAGAGATTTGTACTTAATTAAATGTAACCCTATATATACTCATAGCATCTAAATATACCCTTTTCTACAGCAGTATCTACGTCTTCTTTTAATATTAGTCAACCCAAGCATGTGAAGTGAATAAAAATCAGAGTAGGACTAAGCAGGTGATAAAATAAGTGCGATCTATGTATTTGTTTCTCTTTTTTGTGGCACTCAGCACATAAATACAAATGTCAAAGGTCTTCTTGACAAACGGCCTGTAACCACCATAGTGAGAGGGTCTTTCAGCTTGAAAGGGTTTTGTCGAAATGAATGTCATGTGTTTGGCCAGAGCCAAACCAGTGCTAAGGATTATTTGATCATTTTGGTCCAATGTTTTAAGAGACTAATGTACAGTTTGAATTTGAAGTAAATAAAAAAATCTCATGCATTGACCGGTACACCCACGTCGTACCGCTAGATCGTCGCTTGGAGACGAGCATCAAGAGATTGAAATTTGGCAAGCATCGATCCATAGCTCAGTGGCAGAGCGGTGGGACGTTGACCCATGTGGCCCGGGTTCGAGCCCCGGTCGATGCACGTAATTTTTTCGATTTATTAATTTGCACTGTGAGTACACAAAAATCCCAATAGATAAGATCAAATATTATGTAGAGTGTAGAGTACTATTACTAGTTTAGTAACATGAAGTAGGAATTATACTAGTAATATAATTATCACTTCATTTTTCTATTTGTCCGCGTAATTAAATAATTAAGAAATGATATCTACCAAAATGAGAGTTATTTTTAGGGTTCTGTAATCCAAGGGTGAGACTTCGCTGTCGGTCTGCCTGTTATCAGGTTATATCTCATAAACTGTGACATTTAAAGAGTTTTTCTAAGACATAGACGCAGTATTTTGATACCGCTATAACAGCAGCTAAAAACAGAATAAAGTTTTTATTTCCACACAAAAATATAGTGAGAAAACTAGTGATCGATACCGAAAACTCAGAACCGGCTTTTTTTTATTTCGACCTATGTTCCTTGGGGGAAAGTTGTTCCTTATCACTACCCGGTACTGAGTTTTCGCTATCGGTCACTAGTAAAATTTCACCCTATATTATTCTCATGTAATTTTTGCGCCTTTGGTATAAAACCTTACGTGAGCGAGTCCGACTCGAACTAGTCGATTTTTTCTTTCCATTCCTAGTTGCAATTAAGAAGGTTGTTTGCTGATAGAGCTTTTTCGAGGTCTAGGGATTTTTTTGATCTAAAAACGGGTCTCTCGGGAATAGCACTTCGGCAAATTAAAAAACAAGTTAATCGGCTAATGCAATGTGTATGAATAAAACAGTTCTTTTTCCCTAAGTGCGAATAGCAATTTTCAGACTCAGCTACTACAGAAACCATGGAAAAGCTCTTCTGGATAGGTTCTATATGAAACGTTTCATTTTTATCATAGTCTATTATACCTACATACATACATTAATACCTATAGGTGTAAAAAAATCAACTACAAATAATTTAAGGGGTTAACCAGCCCACGAAACTGAACATTCTTTATACAGAAAGAACAGAGTCCCGTGTGTGTTGGAATGAAAAAAATGGAATGAAATTGGTTGCAAATAGTTGAGCTTTTGGTTATCGCTGTGGGTTCGGGTGTGGCTAGGCTGAGGGCGATATCGCGGTCTGAATCCGGGGCGTGGTTACACGTGCTACCTTCACCTTACCTGTGAACGCATCTGGACAACGATTCGCTGCGCGTGGCGGTAGCTTTCCTTGGCTGCTATGAATACTTGACCAGGAGTAGAAGTGGTCGACTTGATCAGGAGTAGAAGTGGTCGCCATGGCCAAAACCGACCGGAGAGGTCATCATGTAGGTATACGAACCTCATCGCTGCATCTACGGCACCATAGTCGAGGCCAATGGCTTAAGTTGTTGTTACGCAGGTAGATTCCCGGAGCACCACGCTCTCATCGATATTTTCTCAGCCCTTGTCTCGGCGAATGCTCCATGCTTTCTGGAGCCTCCTGGGTTGAACCGTACGGGCGGTATGACGCTAGTCCCATGGCATAAGGACCGATGTTTGCTGAGGGACGCGACCTGCGTCAGCACCTTCGCCGCTTGTCATCTTGGCCAGACAACCCAGGAACCGGGGACTGCCACCGTATCTGCAGCCACTAAAAAGAGGGTAAAATTTGCCGATCTCGCTCAGCTATATGAGTTTGTCCCTCTGGATATAAGGACGGCGGGGAATTGGTGTGCCGAGGATAAAGTCCTTATCAGTCAGATTGGTCGTCGGCTGAAAGAGAGAGGTCTTGACCCACTGTGGTTCATTCCTTGTCCAGGCTTGCGAACTAACGCCATTGAGCGGGATGGGTACAAATAAGTTTGATCCACATTAGTATACTAAAATGAGCTAAGTTAATTACGCTGAAGCGAACACATTTTGGCAATGCTTATATAGTTACATTGTGCGGTGGCCTTTGTCAGAGCATTGAATAATATCCAAGACGGGTCTCACATGTGAAGTCCGTAGTTGCGCATTTTTAGCGCAACCGTAACGTATGCGTCTGTAAGATGCAAGGAAATTTCAAAACTTACGGTCACATCTGTTTCTTATTATGGTTCACTTATTTTATTATGGTAGATGCAATGCATCTATCTCTGTTGCATAAACAGACGTCAGCCGGGCTAGCATACGCACTATAGAGAGACTTACCTTGCGCGAGAGCAGACTTGAAATATGTCGAAAGTATGGAATTTGCAGTGAATTTATCTGTCAAGTTATTTATCAAAACAAGTAAGATTTTTGACATAAGGATGTAGAGAAAATCTTTATCGCAGGTCGCATGCTAGCATAGCAGGTGTGAGACCCGCTTGTGCCCTAGGCCGATTGTGTTTTGTAACAAAAAGGGTATTACGACCCAAAACGAGGTTCTCGGGAACCTGATTCCCCAAGAAACACAGGGTAAAATTAAATTTGAAGCTTCATATAAAGCAAGGTAAGTACATCGGGGGTGTAAGGCCCCCAGTCTTCGAAGGCCCGCAGAAAACCGTTTAAAATACGTTCGGTTGGCGCCAAATTCATAGCAAGCGTAAAATGAACCAATAGAAGCGCAGGGACGCGGGAGCGGGCCGCGTGCGGCCGCTATTTTGCAAGTGACGGCTGGTTGTTCGGTGACCTCGGGCACGGCCAGTGTTTTTGCTATTTTGCGGTCCCACTAAACGGTAGTTTTCAATAGTTAATACTGCAATTTATTAGTAGATTTTTGTTGAATGTGTTTATTAATTTATCACTGCATTGATATTCGTGTAGATATGTCTGGTTTTAACGCTATTTTATTCATAAATTGTGAATACGGGTTGTAAGGCCCCGGTCGGTTAGGAAGGCCCCACAGTGTTGCTGCTTGGGCCTTACAAGCACTGATAGGGCCTTCCTACACTGTTGAAGTCTTTTAAGGCCCATAATTTTTTATAATTAAAATTCACTTTAGATAGACTTACTTTATTAATAAAAATAAATTTTGAACACCCCATTTTTTTCGGGGCCTCGCCACCCGCGATCGGGGCTATCCAAACCAAATACGGGTTATAAGGCCCAGAGTATGAAAATTTAAAATCAACTAATTTTAAAAATAAAAACCTTTTTCTAAGCATAACAAACATACTTTTGGGATTAATAGCAATTTCTTTGCACTTAGCTCCTGAAATTTCGAGACCCAGGCTGTTTTCTTCCTCACTGAGAAAGTGAAGTCTTTTTGGAAAATATTGATGATATAACAACTTTTTGCTTTTACTTAGGTTCAATAATATGTAAATATTCATATACGTGTACCTTTTTTTGTAATTAACGGTTACTTTAACTCCAAACGTAATTAAATTGCCAGGGGCCTTATAAGACATGCCCAGTTTAGAAAGGCCAAAAATCAATGTTTTGAAAAATGATCAAAATTGCAACTTTTTATTGTCAAAATCATAAAAAAACATATAGGTCAATTAATAGTAAATTTTGCTATACGTTGCAAACGTTGTTTTACCTGAGGGTGATAAAATAAAGGTTTTATTTCGGTTCGTTGTTAGGTGGGCCTTATTACCTGGGTCTACCTCATTTTAGAAGTGAGGAAAGCTCTGTACAGGGAATAACGGAAAGGGTATAACAAGTCAAGGTACTCATGAAACTGAACAACTTTCCCCATGGAACATGGGTCGAAATATGAAAAATAAAATTGGACCTCTCATAGTAAATCAATCAGCTGATCGGCGATTTTGTATGGGAGGTCCAAATTAATTTTTTCATATTTCGAACTATGTTCCATGGGGAAAGTTGTTCAGTTTCATGAGTACCTTGACCTCCTTTCAGCTTGTTATACCCTTTCTGTTACTCCCGGTATTTTTAAGCCACCGGGTCCACTATTTGTGGTGTGGTGCCGCTTTCAACTTCCACGCGTTTTCGCTTCGACGGTTTACATCCGACAACTGGAGTCCAAAATTGCAACCAATTTTAGGTCTTTTGTTTTGTCGGGGCCCCGGAAAATTGGGTGTGAGATTTTTGGCCACAGGGAGTCGTATTCAGGCGCTATCGACCCCCCGTGCAACGTATGAGTCGCCGCCGTCGAAAAAGCGCCTATCTAACATTTAAGGTTTGTATTTATAGTATATTAGTTAGTTTTAGGTTAAATTTTATTGTTTTATTTTATTTTATGAACCCTCGTGGCCTGAATTAAACGGTTCTATTGTTATGATTTGGCTGGCGTCCCGTTGTCTCAATAACCCAGCAACCGGTCCAGCAAGTTCCTCCTCATAACATATTATTATTATTTTAGCAGTTATTTTATAAAATTTTATTCACCCTAAAACTATAAGACATTATAACGGGTTTTAACTCACGGTAGGGGTATATCGAGCACCCAATATTTCGGCGATGTTGCAATCGCCATGATCACGGGTAAACTGGAGCGGCTGCGGGTGACGGCTAAGGGCAAACATATCTGTCTACCCTCATTCTTTTGCGTTTTTTCGGAACACTTTGGTCACTATCGGAACTCACTCGAAAGTCATCTCGACAACACACACTAACGGTATCGCATGATTTTATTGCAGGTTTAGACACAAACTTATTTTTACACAAGTTTACCACTGGATTCCATGTACTTGACAATTTGAAGCCATCTTCTCTATTGAAATTTTTGTACTTGGTGATTTCAATAGCCTCGCTTACCAGTCTTGGTATGTAGTGGCGTTCGGTCGAAAGTACTTTTGGATTATGTAATTCGATCCAGTGGTTTGGACCAGACTCAAGCAGGTGTTCCGCAATGGCAGACTTATGTGCTTCATTGTTTTTCACTGCCTTTATCGACCCTTTGAGTAACAAATGTCGTAAAAGCCAAATCGCAACTTTTGGGAAATCGCAAAAAACTAAAAATGGAAAACGATAATGTTGTGTATTTTTTACATTTCTAAAGCTATATTAGTACTGTTTACATATGTTTTTGGCCGCAAAAATCCCTTTCAAAGTGTATAAGAATAAATATGCTAACTTCAACAGTTCAAGAGATAGGGTGGCTTTTACTACATTTTGTTTTAGAAAAATT